AAAATCTGGGCTAGCATTATAATGAATGAAGAACAAAGTACTATCAGTTATTTTCCCTCTGTTAACAAATATATATCTTTTCATTCATTTTTATTGCTGGCTAACATTCCATTCACAGTTATTTGACCATTTTATTGTTGATAGGCTTGGTGTAGTTGAAGTACAAATATTAACAAACTTCATTTTGATGTCTTTTATAGTAGCATTTATTGTGCTATGTATCTTGTCTTCTTTGATATCGTAGTATTTCTTAGAACAATCCCAGTAAATATTATTTCCCCTTTTATGTGTGATATAAATAATAAGGATCACTAATAGTTTAATTAATAACCAATTTGATTATATATGTATGTATGAATGTGCATGTATGATAAAAAGTTTTTACAGCTCCAGGTGCATCTGCAGAGTAGGCAAAGTTGTTTTGGTCGTCTTTTGTCTTTTTCCATCCCTTTTTGCTATTTATCTTTTGTTCCCCTAAGGCCCAAAATCTCCTCACCAATGTTCATTTCTAGCCTACATCCTAAAATGTTCTGATTCCTGCCTGGCTGGTATGGCTCAGTCGTTGAGCATTGACCCATGAACCAGGAGCACATGGTTCCTTTCCTGGTCAGTGCACATGCCCAAGTTGTGGTCTCGATCCCCGTAGGGGGCATGCAGGAGGCAGCCAATCAATGTTTCTTTCTAATCGATGTTTCTGTGTCTCTATCCTTTCCCTTCCTTCCTCTCTAAAATTAATTTTAACATTTAAAAAATGTTCTGATTTCTTTATTTTCTTCTCTAGTAGCTCTCTTTGCTAGAAAATCTTTTTTGCTTAATAAAGTAATCTGAATAAAGTAATTCATTCAAATGTGAATGTAAATAAAAGTGAGCATGGTTGGTAGCATTTTTTTCCTTAAGATAACTCTGATTACAAAAGCATTACATGTTCATTGAAGATAATAAAAGAATGAAGAATTATAACGAGGAAAATAGGAATGTCCACCATCCTATATTATAAAAGGCTAATATGCAAATAGACCAAACTGCAGAACAATCGAACAACCGGTTGCTATGACGTGCGCTGACTACCAGGGGGCGCACGCAGAACATGGCAGGCGTCAGCAGCAGGTGGCAGAGCGCCGAACATGGCAGGTGTTGGCCGCAGTGGGATGGTGGAGCAGGTGTGCGGGGTCGCCAGGCCAAGGCGGGGCACTGGTAGCTGTCTTTGGGGCAAGCCTCTGGTGGTTACTGAAAATCCTTTGCTCCCATGTGGCATGGTCCTGCCCAGCGTTCATACCTGCTGCTGGTACCTGGCACCAGCCCCAATCACTCAGTGCTGTCATCGGGTGCAAGCTGCGGTTGCCACCCCCGATTGCCCCTCAGGGCTTCTCCACCTCCCCCTGCTTCTGAGGGGTGATTGGGGCCGGCAGCCACCTCTCACATATGCTGCCCGTGACAACCCCACTCGCACCCGCTGCCAGCATCAGAGCTGCCGCTTCCACCTGCTGCTGGCGCCCAGCGCTGGTCCTGATTGCTCGGCACTGTTGGTGCGAGCGGCAGCTGCCAGCCTCGATCTCCCCTGAGCACTTGTCCATCTCCCCCTGCTCCTGAGGGACGATCGGGGCAGCAGCCACCGCTTGCACCCACTGACGGTACCGGTCCCACTTCCACCCACTGCTGGTGCTGGTCCCAATTGCTCTGCGCTGTCAGCAGGTGTGAGTGGGGCCAGCGCCGTCAGTGCATGGGAGTGGCAGCAGCGGCACCGCTGGCAGACGGGACTGGGAAGCTGAGGTGGGAGAGGCCAGGCGGGAGCGTGGAGGATGGGCCGAGACCCACCCCTGTGCCCACCACAGCCTCATGGCCCACAGTTCCTTTCAAGGTGCATGAAATCGTGCACAGGGCCCCTAGTCATAACATAATATCTCCAGCCAGAGATAGCTATTTTGTTGTGTTTAATGTGTTTCTTTTCTGTCTTTTTACACATAGATATTAGCATTTAAAAGTGGAAGTTGAGGTATCTGTTTGGAAGAATGGGGGAAAGGAGGAGACTTCCAAATTGGTGCCTTCTCTGACTTCCCCTGACTGCTTTCACCTTGCCTGATCCTCTATGCTCCAGTGTGTTTCACAGACACTAATCCTAGGGAATGCTCTTTGAAAACAAGAAGTCAAGAAAGTTTGAAAAAATTGTATGTAATTTTCATGGAGTTTAATAAAAGTTTTTTAGAAGAACAACTTGTTTTATTTGAGTGTTCTCAACCTTACTTGACCAGAACATATTGTTCTGTAGGCCAAAGAACAGTGGTATTGGCATCACCTGGGTGTCCTTTAGAAATGAAGATCTTGCCCTGGTCACTGTGACTCAGTTGGTTGAGCATCATCCCAATCCCTAAGCGGTTACCAGTTGGATTCCAGTTCAGGGCATATGTACACATTGAGGGCTCGATCTCCAGTAGGAGGCGTGATCGATGTTTCTATCTCTCCTCCTCCTTTCCTCTTCCTTTAAAATGAATAAAACATTAAAAAAAGAAGAAGAGGGAACCAAAATGGCGGCATCGGTAAATGCCTATATTTGCTGCCTCCCACAACCACATCAAAATTACAACTATAATTCAGAACTATCATCCAGAACCGTGGGAAAGCTGGCTGAGTGGAAGCACTACAACTAGAGAGGTAAAGAAGAAAGCACACAGACTGGTAGGAGGTGTGGAGGCATGGAACGGGCTGGTCTGGCACCCGGGTGTGCTGCTTTTTTAATTGGGAGGGAGATCACCTCTTTGGAGGCAGCCTGGAGGAGCAAGGAGTCCCAGTCCCACACCAGACCCCCATCCCAGGGTCCCAGAGCTGGGGAAAGAAGTCTCTGGGCTGTAAAAACCAGTGCAGATTGGGGCTGAGTGACACAAAGGCTGCTAGAGATGAAGCTACTACTCTTAAAAGGCCAGCACTGCGAACTGAATTTACAAGCTCCCGCTTGCTCTGAGCTCCAGTGCCAGGCGAGGCTCTGGGGGACCCAGACAGATACAGGGAGAAACTGGACTGTCTGGCTTCAGGGCAGAAACGCGGGGGTGACTTTCTTCCAGATGGAGGTATTCACATTGGTCATTGTTGCTGTGCTGGGACCTCCCTGGTGCAGGGCTGACTGGCAGACATTTCTGTTGGCTCCACCCTGGAGATTCCCTGAGACCCTGCCCCACCCAATTTACAACCCCACCCACCCAAGCTGTTTGCAGTGACTTTTGCATATAAATGGACTGTCCTTTCTCAGCCTAAAAGCTGTCAAGCTGCAGCTGGGTCAGGGAGCCCCAAAGCTGTTAACCCCTAGAGTGCCGGGGAGCACGATCGCGCTCCTCCTGTCTTTCGTTAAAAGTGCCAGGAGCGCTATCGCGCTCCTCCTACAGTGTCACTATTAGATGCTAGTAGTTCACTCTTTATTGACAGATGGCACCTAAGTGCAGGTAACTTATGATGCCGAATGTTTGTAGTTCTAAATTGACCACTGACATTTATCTGCCTAATTTTTTACAGGTACTACGATTTTATGAAGTTTACTCAGATTTTGTAGCCCTAAAGCTTCGAAATGGCTTCCAGTTCTAAGTCTGCTTTTATTAGTGATGATGATATTGCTAAATATGTTAATTCTTGCTGTGAAGATGACGATTTTGTGGAAGATATTGGAGAAGGGTCTCCCTCTTTTAACATTATATGTTTTGTTCCAATTTTTTTTCTTCTAGTATTTTATAATACAATCAGCAAACAATATATGTCAAAGATGAAAACAAATGTAGTAAAGGTTTCCTTACGTTTTTGAATATGTAACTTCATTTACTTACGATTCATAATTTTTTTCCTAAACTGCTTTTTTCCTAAAATCAGCAAAAATGCCTTGGCAATTTTAGCATAGTTCCTAGGATATTGGTTGGCACTCAAAGGGTTAATAAAAAGCCCAAGGCCAGGACCAGCACCAGCCTGCCTTGCTTCACAGCTGTGTCTCCTCTGGGCACTTCCAAACCTGATACAAAGAGGAGAAATCTGCAGATCTCTCTCTAGCTCCTGCTGGGTGGCCCCAGGCAGTGGCTGACTTTGTACCTCCTTGGAGATACAAGAGCCACTGTACCCAATGGTCAGTGTGAGACCATAACAGATTACAACTTTTCACATCCATAAGTGACACACTCAAGGGGCAGACTCAGTGAGCACCAAAGCCCCACTGAAGCAAGTCCTGCCCCATAAGGGTGTCTCCTGCACAGCAGCTCTCCCACTGTAGTCACAGCTGGTTCCACAGCCAGTTGGCCTGGAGGTCAATTCCTCCCAGTGATACCAACAGCAATCAAAGCTCAACTACAACAAGACTGTGCACACAGCCCACAAAGGTGTGCACCAAGAGTGTCCACCTCAGGTGATTGGGGAGGTTGAGCCACTGGGCCCTATAGGACACCTACTACACAAGGACACTCTATCAACTCAAGGAGACTTAGCAGCTACCCAATATAGAGAAAGGGAAGCAGCCAAAATGCAGAGACAAAGAAACATGTCACAAATGAAAGAAATGGAGGAAAGCAAACTACTGGATATAGAGTTCAAAACCACAATTATAAAGTTAAGAATCTTCTAGAAACCTCCGAGAAACTTAGACCTTCAAGGATCTTAGCGAGAATGCCAAAAAAATGGAAAAGGAACAGTCAGAAATTAAGCATACACTGACTGAAATAAAGAATAATATACAGGGACTCAA